CTCCAAAGCACCTGGAACCCTCCTGCAGGCTTTGTGGCCTGGCTCAGGTGAGCAACTGTCCTTCCAGTTCCTCCAGGATCCTACAAGTCACCAGAATGGAGTGATGGGATCCTGAGGCTGAGAGGCAGCTCAGTAAGCCCTATGCTCCAGCCTCATGGTCCATCAAGATTCTCAGCAAGGGTGCTGAAAAGCCAGCCCCTTCCTGGACCTAGTTCCATTTCCAGGCAGTGACTGCAAAAAACTGTAAATGGGTTTCCTGTTACACCTTCTCTGTGGGCTTTACCCCAGATAGGAGCACGAAGCTGTTATTGAAAATACGTTTAATTTCCCAAATGGATCAGGAGAAGGTCCAGGATGCACGTACTGGACAGGCCACTCATCAAGCCAACTGGCTAGATACCATTTTATTGGCTGAAAAGAACTGCATTTTAAAAATATATGACCCTTCTGTTCTTCCTGCTCTACAGTACCTCAATGGTGCACTCAGCACCATGGAGAGAAGGCTTAGTTCCATGGCCGAGCTAGAGGAGTGACTCACAGAAGCCCCACAACTTCTTCCATTAATCAAAGAGAGCTTGTCAAAGAGCCCCAAGCTACTCTTCCAATTACTGTAGGATGTTTCAGGAAGCATTAAACCCAAATATCCCAAGACTGGGAACTTGAATCAGAGCTGAGAAACCCAGCCAGAAACCTTATTTTAATGAAGGAAGATCAGAGGCCAAAGCGAATTCTGACACATCACAGGACAGGGAACCATGTCCCAGGAAAGATACCTTCATCAAAAACCAGAGCTTTCTCTCGGCTTCCATAAAATATAATAGTTGAGAACAGGCACAGGTTAAAGTCAGTGAAAGCATTGGGCAAACTAGTATCATATAACTTGCATGGAGAGAAAATATTTGTATCTTTACCATGATGAATTAGAACCGTACAACATAGAAACATAATGGTTCCTGTCCGATTGGGCTATGAAGAAGGCTTACCGCCAAGAATGGGCTCTTGGAAAAGAAGGCAGTTCCAGGGTCAGGGGCACGGATGTGGGTGCTATTTCACACACAGGAAGTAAATTCCTACAGTGCTTGCTCAGGAAGTAGCAAGGAGGAAGGGGTAGGGAGCTTATCGGGAGGGAAGTCCAGTGTGGGCTCTGTTATTTCTTTTTATTCACAAAGAGAAATTAGATACTTCAGTGGTCCAAAAGCCAGTGGGGTGATTCTAACTCTGTGTGAGATTAGCAGAGAGAAGGCTTGGTCATCCAGGGAACCATGGAGACCCCAGGAGTGTCCCTTAATTCTCATGCAGATGGGTGAGAGAATTCTTGTCTCTAAGTATGGGGAAAGGGATCCACCTGCCACCTCGGCACACACTTGCTTAAGCTCAGCCAGGTCAGCAGGACAGTCAGACAGATGTGTCCTCCCAAGCCCAATGGGCACCACACCTCCTCCCAAGCATTGGCCATAATCAGAGGAGGCCCCTGAGAAAGAGGCCAAGCTGATTAAATACTGTACACACATTAAGTGACAGGTACACAGTCTTGGTGATGGTGACTATGATTCACTCTTGGATGCTTCAACACTTGCACAGCATGATGCTGAGGTGGAGAGGCAAACTTTAAGCTTTATAAAACCAGCAATGGGCAGCTGCCAAGGAATCGCCCTCCATGCCAGGTGGAAGAGGCCACCAGGCTTAAAGCTGCACAACCACAACTGAAGGCATCTATCCACTTTGCCCTAACACTGGCCTTTCTGCTTCCTTCTGTGGTATCATCTATCAATAGATTTGTGGCACAAAAGGGCAGATGACTCTTGGTACCAGGAGGGGCACATGCAGACGCAGCAACCTAGCAAGAGTCTGTCTCAAAAAAAGCAAAAGAAAAAAGATTGAATAAAGCTCATTTCAAGGGCTCCTGGTTTGATCCCCACTACCGGTGGTACAACCATGTGGCCAGAGACTGCACTCATCCTGAAACAACTAGTTGCACACAGTGATAGGTGTTTTGCTTTGGTCATTAAAAGTCACAGTAATAAATTGATCCCTGGATAAGAATAGCTGTCCATCCCCCTGGGCGTTCACTCAGGTGAGGATCTCATCTGAGCTCAGGACACAACTTCCTTTCCATTATGCATTAAGTGTTCTCTATACAGATTTCATGGGCATTGGATATTAACTCACAAGATAATTGGGAGCAGCTTATACTTCCCCCAAAATTTTTTTATGAGGATTCTTTGCCACTTCTGAAAATTGTACCAGCAACCCAAGCTGCCCTGGGTGGCAGAGTCTAACTCCATCAGTCCTCGTCAGGCCACACTGGGCGCTGTGTGTCCCTGGTGGTGCCTATCCACCTCTAGCCCCTCCTTCCGAGTATGGTGTATCAGTCAGCTTTCTCATCACCTAACACTAACAGCTCAGAGAAGGAAATGCTCTGGGTGGCTCACGGTTTCGGCACATTCAGTCCATGGTCAGCTGCTCCAAGGCAGATGCATCCTGGTGGAAGGGTGTGGGGGAGCAACACTGCTGAGCTCATGGCAGCAAGGCAGCAGAGCAGCAGAGCACAGCAAATAGTGCCAAAGAGGAAAAGGTAAAGGACCAGATGTGGGCCCCAAAGCCACTCAGAAACACCAGCAAGTGTGCCCCACCAATGCTCAAGTGGATTTCAAAACCAACTGAGTTGACATTGTACCTTAACCGCCACGGTGGCCCAACCAGGTTGCTGGAGCGCTGAGGTACTGATTAGCTTACTATATATCACTTCCATTTCTTCCACCATACAGGGCTCGTGATCCTTTATTCAAAATGCTTGGCACCAGAAGTGTTTCAGGTGTTGAATCTTTTTGGATTTGGAAATATTTGCATATGTATGATGGGATACTCAGAGCCGGCACGTGAATTTATTTATGTTTCAGATACACCTCACACACACAGCCTGAAGCTAAGTCTTTACAGTATTTTTAGTGCACTGTGCTTTGGCTCTGACCTGTCACAGAGAGGCAGGGGTGGAATTTTCCATTTGCTGCATCAGTTTGGTGCTCAAAAGCTTTGGATTTCGGAGCATTTCAGATTTTCTATTTAGAGATGCCCCAGCTATATTACATCAGGACACTAGGATTATGTATACAGGTGAGCTATATGAGGTTTGATCTCATTTCAGCACCTCACAAAGCACTTGCCATAAAGAGGGGGTGTGGGGCGAAAAGATGGGGAACTGCTGGTATAGCAGCCAGAACATAAACAAGATCCTGGCAATGCTAACTTCTCAAACTACATGGGTGAAAATGAGGTGCTTAGACCAATTCCATACTCTGTTTCACTGTGCGGCCACCCCGAGCAAGTGATAAGAGTTGGGGGCCATGTTGGAGGGAAGGGCTTGGTGGAAGCCCTGTCTCACTGGGGAAGGGCATACACACCACTGTAAAGCAGCCTCTTCCACAACCCCACACAGAAGCACCACCCACCTCCATAACACGCTTGCCATGACAGCAATAATTTCTGGTCTTCTCAGTCCCCAGGCAATGGCTGGCCAGTGGTTGTATTCTGAGGTATCAATGACCCAAACTTATTAGTATAAAGACTCGCAGACGAAACTCTGTCCTGTGAGGGACAGGTCATCCACAGGGATATGCCTCCCTGAGGCCCCATCTGCGGCCTACCACACCCCCTCCCCAGAAAGCGGCAGTAGCCAAGTACCGGAGAACACATCACGTGCCAGCAGAGTGGAGCAGGACACTGGGCAGGCAGGAGTGCTGGGTCACTGCGCTCCCACACTGCCAGACAGCTCACTTTGCTCACTGGCCCAGCACCCTCAGAAGCCTGCCCGCTTTCATTTCTCCCTCCTTTTCCTTGCTAAAGCTGGCCTTCAGCTTCAGGAACAAGAGGCGATGGTTCAGGAAAGCAAGGGTGGGAAGAGATGAAAAGGATTTACAGTAGGAAAGTCCACAGTCTCCAGACAGCTCGTGACCTCAAAAACAGACCATCGCCTGCCTGCTTACTGGCTCTGCCTGAATTTCAATCTCAGTTACAAAACAGATGTAAAGTTAAAATGTGCACAATCTTAGCATAGCTTCAGCCTCCCAGAAAGGAAAGGAGGGGCTCAGATCATGGGGTTTCTGCAGAGCTGGAAGGTGACAGAACTGCTAGGAGTCCTCCCTGAACCTCACTTAGTTCTCCTTGGAAATGGGAGTCCATGGCCTGCCCTAGGCCAAGCTTCCTGTATCCCAGCAACCCCTAGTTGGCTGCAATCTTTATTTTACAATCTCACCCCATCATCTCCATGGTGGAGACCTCATCGCTGGTCTCCCTGCTGTCCTCACAGTACTCTGTTCCAAGAGAGTCTCAGCTCTCTCTCCACAGCTGGTCCCATGAGCTGCCCCAGCACCCCCTGCATGTGCAGAGGGGGGATCCATCCCCGCTGCACTCCTGCAAGGCTACCTCAGGCTCCCACAGGCCACTCCCCCTGCCTCAGCCTCCCCATAAGGCCCAGAGGGGCTGCAGTGAATATCAAAGGGCCTTAAGCTCCCAGAAGTTAGCTAGCCACAAAACTTGTGTCTCACTTGAAATTTTATGATGCCCATCTCATGTGAATGTACTGAGGCTCTTAAGACAATACTGCTATGGATTCTCTGCATTGAAATACACACATGTGGGGGCTGGAGAGATGGCTCAGTGGTCTAAAGCACCTACTTAGAACAAGCTTAGCAAAGCACAGGGACCGCGGTTCAATCCCCCAGCACCACATGCCAGCCAGCCCCGCCCCCTGGTGGGCTGAGCTGGCCACACACACACACACACATAAATAAATAAAAATTTAAAAAAAATTAAAAAAAATACACACATGTGTGCATATATATATATATATATATATACATGTACAGGCACATGCATGTACAGGTCTATACACCAACACGTTTGTATCCACAGACCCCCAAAATGGGCCAGCCTTCTGTTCAGAACTGTGCCGTTCACGCCATGCCCCCAAACCCAGCCATGCCAGCTCCACCTCCACTCACCTCTCCGAGTCAAAGTAGGAGTCTACGTAGGAATGAGGCGCGCCCGCCACAGCGAAATTGCTGCTTCCAGTGTCAACGAGGATCTGCAGCTTTTGTGTTTTGAGAAGAAAAAAACAGAAAGCAATGGATTATTATTGTTTTTTTTTAATGTATTTAGTACAGGGTCTACAGGGTCTCACTATACAGATTGGACCTGTGGTGAGCCTTCCTGTCTTTCAGCCTCCCAGGTGCACGCACCACCACACCCAGTCTCAATCACTGTCTCAGTGTGCCCTGGGGGTGGGGCTGGCATGGCAGGCTGGGGATAGGAACTCTGGCCTCTGCGTCTCCTTAAGCACATGCTTTAATCTGCTGGGCTATCTGCCTGGCCCAACATTGGATTATCTGATTAAGCTAATACTGTTAAGTAATTTTATTTTTGAAAAGCTGAAGTACCAAGAACAATTTACAATTGGCAAAAACACATAGAGCCTTAGGAGATAGTTCCGTGAAGTAATAGGACTTAATCTTTTTTTGGTACCAGGAGTCAATCTCCGGACGTCGGGCTTGCCAGGCAGGTGCTACAAAACTGAGCTTAGCCTCGGCCTGGGCTTCTCTTTGAAGCTGTTGTACTTGCACACAGGAGGAGTCCTGTCCCTTGAGGCCTTGTCCAGTTCTTCCAGGATGGAAACCCCCTTTTCTTGTCTTTGCAAGTCTTTCTTGGAAAACCACATCTCACATGGCCAGGCTACCCCTTCTTAGCAGCCTCTCTAATCCCCTAGCTATTGGTGTCACTTTGTCCCTGCAAGGCATTTGGGGATACCCGTCAACAGTGTCCCTTTTGTTGCTGTCATAACTTTCTGAGGTACAATTTCTGTGCAGTACAAATGTTTGCACCGTGATTCTGAGTCTTGGCTGCCCTAATGTCCTGAATGGATTCAAAGCGTTTTCCTTTCGTGGTCATTTTGACTTTGGGGAAGAGACAGGAAGAGCACCATGCCAGATCTGGTTACTAAGGCGGCTGAGGACACAGCAGCATTTTTATAAGCCCTTTTCCATTCGAATCACTGTATTTTTGACCACACCTCATAAAGACAATCAGGAAAGAGGACTGCAGAGCTGCTTCCGAAGGTGGCAAGAGGGATGGGCTGGATTTTGAGGGAGGTCCACGGCACAAATTACTGTGGATCTTTTTTGTACAATTTCAGCATTCATTGTGTCCGCATATGGCATTCATTTTTCCATGCCTCGCATCTAGCCCAAGTCCAGATACACAGCCAACCGCTGAGAAAGTGGATGCGCCTTTAGAACAAAGCATAAAAACTGACAGATGAACTCCATAAGGTTGAAAATCAAGTTTAAAAAGCTACAGACTGAGGATTGAGGACAGGCAAGTTTTCATCTAAGACCATCCTGTCCATAATCATGTAGGGGTTTTGCTTCAGTCTGTATTTCACTATGCCCAGCTCTCTCTCCCATTACCTGATCCAACAACAGAATTTGACTCAGCTTCCTAACTAAACCTTTCTCTGTTTTGGATTCTAGGTGTCATGCTTTCCTAATTTTCCTCCCACCTCTCTCTGACTCACCCACTTCTGTCTCACAGAGGATGCTTCTCATCTCTCCGATCTGTGGTGTTCTCCAGGGTGCACCTTGGAGTCACTGAGTCTGTCTACACAGCCCATCACACTTTCCATGCCTCCTATGTGTGATGAACACTGAGATCTGCACTCCAGAGTCCAGGTTTACCTGCCCGACACCTTTGCCTGAAGCTCAGAGCCATGTTTGGTTAAAACACTACCCCTGTGCCTACAAGTAAGTGGAGCATTATTTGGAAGCTAGGACACTAAAGGGCATAATCAGTTAAGATGCAGTCCTTGGGTGGGCCCCAATCCAGTCAACTCCTGTGTTCACACAGGAAAGAAAACACAGGATTACAGAAGTGACTGCCAGTGTCACACAGCCCCTAGAATATAGAGGATGCAGGTCACTGCCAGGGGTCAAAGCAACTCTGCTGAAGTCTCAGAGGGATCACAGTCCAGGCCACACCGCGATCTTAGACTCCACCTTCCAGCATGGTGCGGAGATCTGTTTGGGCCGGAGCAGCCCCCCAGTGTATGGTACTCTGTTCCAGCAGCCCAGGAAATGAATACACCCTGGCAAGTCGGTCTTGGGCAGAATGACATGCCTAGCACCCCACCCAGAGGACTCTGCCATCTGTAATCTCAGTTCTGCCATGTTTCTGGAGGCCCCATGGCTTAAAGCCTTCTCCAACACTGCCTCCCCTGGGCCCACATGTCCCCAGGAGTCCATGTCGCCGCTGCCTTCTGGATCTACTGGACAACTGCTCACCTCTGCTCACCTCTCTCCGACTTCTGTGGGACCACTGTGGCTCACACTGGGGTCATCTCCTGCCTTTTCCTGTCTTGTTCCTGCTTCTTCCTGCCAGCAGCCACCACTGGCCTGTTAAGATTCACATCTCACTCCCCTATGGAGTTGATTTTAGATAGGAAAATATACAGCGATACCTCGGTGCACGAATTTAATTCGTTCTGCTTTTCTGGAAAAGATGGTCATGGTTTACAAACTGTTTGCCGCAAACAGAAGGACTTGTGAGCTGAGGCATCACTATACACACATATGCAAGACCCAGTTCTCCACCCAAATATTTGATGTTCAAGAGTTCCAAGTTCCCAACTACAATTCTGAATGGATCTGAACTTCTCATAAACGTGGAAGGGGCATCAAATAATTATTCAAATTTACAGTCCTTCCTCAGCATTGGAGGGAATGGTTTTAGGCCCCCAATAGCCAAATCCTAGGATGCTCAAGTCTAATACATAAAGGACATGGTATCTACATACAGCCTACGCAATCCTCCTTGGTACTTTAAGTGACCTCAGCTTACTTACACCATCACAATGCAAATAACATGCAAATAGCTGCTGCACCGGCTGGGTTAGAGCATCATGATAAGAACAGGTCTCTACACCTTCAAGATTTTCTCCTACTACTTTTATTTGTGGTTGGCTGAATCTTCAGATGTGCAGCCCGGGAGGGTGAAGGGACAGCTGAACTTGGACTTGATTGGAGAGCAGCTGGTAGGAGCTGAGAAACTCCTGCGTATCCAGCGGCTCAAAGTAGCTGTGGGAACCTGTCTGTGGGTCTGCCTGGCTGAGCAGGGTCTTCCATATTAGGATCTATGTCCATTTAAAAACCTCTCAGTTCTTTTAAGAGCAAGTTTATCATTCCGCATAATGTGTATCTGGTGACGTATGTCTACACTTTTTGTCTCAAAATTTAGTTTTTAAAATCCTTGCTACATGGACTTGTTTTAAGAATTCTTCTGGGGCTGGCCAGATAGCTCAGTGGATTAAAGTGCCTGCTTAGGAAGATGCAGGGACCAGGGTTCGATCCCCACCGTGACATGCGGGCCCAGCCCCTGGGGCACACTGAGACTGGGCATGGTGGTGCACAACTGTAATCTCAGAGCTTGGGGTCACTACAAGTGTGATCTGTGTAGTGAGACCCTGTAGACTCCGAGAGAGAGAGACAGAGAGAGAGAGACAGAGACAGACACAGAGAGAGAGACAGACAGCGAGACAGAGAGAGAGACAGAGAGACAGAGAGAGAGTGTGTGGGAGAGAGAGAATATGAATTCTGGTGTGGTCTGCAAGTTTGTACACTTTTACGTTGTTGTATTCTGTAATTTTATATGCTCCTTTTAAAACTTCTCTTGCTATAGCATCTCAGGATGTGTTTGTGGGTTCACCATTCTGAAATCTGATGAAAGCAACTTCTAACTGCTGGAACAAAACACCTGACTTGCGGCATGTGCAGGAGGAGAGGTTTCTTTTGATGTAGGTTCAGTCCACTGTTGGCTGGTTGCAAGGCAGAAGCAGCAGCCTGGACAGACCTGGCAGAGTGACACGGATCTCCTCAGGGCAGTCAGCGAACAGCAAGCAAAGGGAGGAATCAGGAGGAAAACATGCCCTGCAAGGCCATGCCTTGTCAGGATCCGGATCTAAGATGTCCCCAGACTCTCAGATGCTCAGAAGTGAAACTTTTGGAGGTGACTGGACTTGGGCCATTACACTCACCCATGGAGTCATCCTCTAGAGTTCAGCAGCTGGGGCAGCTCAGGGCTGTGGCCTGCTTAGAGGAGGTCACCACGGGTCCGAGCTGGAAGAGCATCTGTCGGGACCTCGCCCTCAGTGCCTCCCTCCCTCGGCTCTCTGTTTCCATCCACCAGGCCTCTGCCTCATGCCATTTCTGCTTTGCAGTCAGCCTTCTATGGACTGAAACTTCTAGAAACTGTGAGCCAAGATAAAGCTCTCTTCCTTTAAGCGTGGGTGGGTGTCAGGTATTTTTGCCCAGCAGTGAGAAAAGTAACTAGGAAATACCTTTCCTAACCGAGGCCAATTCCTAACAGCACATACAGTCGTGGACTCAGCACTGGACCAGTCATTATGATCCAGTCACCTTCCAAAGACTCCGGACACGTGAGACTGCCCGGGGACATTGTGGGTCTCCACCATAACAGACAGGGTGGGGCAAGGTGCAAAAAGTGCGAGATTATAACACCTTTACTTCTATGATATATCTGTCTTTTTATAATTCTACATTATGCACCTAAACACTTTTTTTTAATCCCCTTGTCTGTATGTTCCCCCACTATCTGTCACTACTGTCTTCCACCAAGGAGAAAGGCCTGTCCTGGTGGTGGCGATTGTCCTCAAATGGCCACAAATCTCTATTCTGTAAATCATGCAACAGACTGCACCACTGTTATAGTCTTGAAATTCACAATTGTTAAGTGCTTCCCACAGAAACTCAGTCATCCTTCAAGAAAATAGCTTCTTCCCTCCTACTAGCCCTCGGCCTACATGTGGCTCAGCCCACCCAAGATGGGCGTCGTGTTCCTGGAGCATGTTCGTGGTCTCGCTGCCTAACGCAGCCTTTAGCCTGAAAGGATGGCCTGCCTGGGTTTAGGTATTGGGGCTGTACATTTGCTCTCAACAATACTTTATTTTTCCAGTGTCTTTCTACATGCAGTGTTCGTGAGAAATTGGAGACCTATCTTATTTTTCCTCATTACAAGTGCCTTTCT